TAATGGCCAGACTTTCAGTTAGCAACTGGGCAATTAACCTTTACAACTCTTTTCTTTTCTTTCTAAACAGATATTTTATTATACTGTATTCCACTTACATATGATTTTAGAGAAAGAGACTAAAGAAAACCTAGGAGACTGTTGTTTGTTTGTTTTTGTTTTTGTTTTTGTTTTGACTCCTGGTGTGGTGCTATAGGATCAGTACTGGACTACGAACAAGTTTGGTAGTTCAAACCCACTAGGTGCTCCTCTGAAACCCTATATAGTGTTGCTGCAACAATAGCAACAAGTGTTTTTCAACTGTTTAGAAATAAGATCACAAGCTGTCTTGATGATTAATTTTGTGTTTCCACACTAATGTCTTGCTCTTTATTTAAGTCCTCTTCGGAAACGTCGTAAAAGAAGGAAGAAGGAAGAAGAAATGGAAACTTTGAGTAAAGCTACAACTCCGTTCGATGAAAATATTCAAGAGACTAATATTGCTTAATGGTAAGTGCAAGTAAACTTAGCAGATGAGAAGCCATTCTAATGAAATTTTCCTGGTGAAATGGAGCTTCACTGCCTCTAGTAAATCACTAATTGGAATTTTATTATGTTTAAAAAGATCTTAAGAGTACATTTATAGTTTTTCCAGAATGTGAAGACAATAAAAGAATTATACTTGTCACGACAGTTAGAAGTAGGGGGAAAGGGTTTTAATATACTTTGTAAAACAAAAATGTATGTAGATCACTTATTATTCAACTTTGCATGTTTTTAACTGTTATTTTATATTTTTTCTTCATTTTGGGGCATAAAGATGTATTTTATCTTAGCCATTTCAATAGCAGTGTTTTCATACTAACACTTATTGGGAGTCCTGTTGTGGCACTGTAGGATAATTACTAGACTCCAAATTGCAAAGTTGGTGAATCAAACCAACTAGACACTCCTTGAAAACCCAAGAAGGGGTCACTGTAAACCAGAACTGACTGGACAGAATTCAATAGCAACAACAACAACTATGAGGGTGAGTCATAAATTATCTACACTCTGATTATATTAAAGCATCCATCCACATCCACGGCTTATGACAATATTGAGCATGCACATGAAATGATTCTGTCGAATAGACGATTATGTGGCAAATCAGTCATAGCTCTGCCTATGAAGTAATCCACAACACACTTGAATTTTGAAAAGTTTGTGTGAGATGGGTACTGGAACAATTCACAGAGGATCATAAGCAAAAACGTTTGAATGTCTGCAAACAAAATTTGGACCGATGCTCAAAGGAACGATAAAGTTTCTTTAAAAAAAAAGTCATTACTGGTAGTGAGACATGGGTTCATCACTACAAGCCTGAGAGTAAATGGCAGAGTATGGAATGGAAACATCTTCAATTGCACAGATCAAGAAAATGTTCAAAAGT